CAAAGCCCCAGTAGATAGTTGTATGTCATAGTTGCACATCCTTCTAGTTGCTGTATGTGGGACGCGGCCTCAGCATGGCCGGAGAAGTGGTGCGTCGGTGCGCGCCCGGGATCCGAACCCGGGCCGCCAGCAGCGGAGTGCGTGCACTTAACCGCTAAGCCACGGGGCTGGCCGAGAAGAATATTCTTATCTTTCCTCAATTATTCAGTGTCTTCTTATCATCTAGTTTGAATATTAGAAATTTTGCCTTCCATGACTTAGCGTAGAGTGCTGACCTTATAAGTGGATATGTACCAGTCACTGGTAGTATGATTTGGAGGCAAATCATGTGATTATCAAGGTGACCCATGAGATGCCTGAGTTTACTTTTTAACTTTAAAGCTCCGTACAAGTGTGAAGTAGCATTATCTTCTTTCTGTCCCTCTTCTACAAGCATATTTTCTCTTTAGAAATTACTCAATATATATTCTCTTCAACCAGAAAAAAAGGATTTTTATCATTTTTCCTAATTGTCATATTTCTGATTGTCATTCTGTTAAATCTTTCATGGTTTCAGGGTTTCAAGGTCACTAAAAATATAACAACAACAACATTGGATGCCTTTTTCTTTAGAGAATATAGGAAACATTCATTTTCCATTCTCACTAATAAAGTTTAGCAATTCTATTATGTACCTAGTAATTTCAAAGTTTTGGAATTCCTTTCTTCTCAGAAAGGAAAATTTCATTCTTTTGGCCCTAGTGTTGTCTCTAAAACATTTGAAATTTTTTAAAATTATCAGCAAAACTGGGATTTCCAAAGGTCCCCAGAAAAAGGCTGGTTAAGCGGCATACATTGTGTAAAATGAGTCATGCAGGGGAAAGAAAGGACTAGACATAGAAAAACAAATTCTCCTCAAGGTGTCTTCAATTTTCCTCTCTGACAGTAATCCTTTTAGAATTAGACAGACATATAAAGCAAAATGTAATAAATGAATACTGGATGACAATCTTTTTTTATGATTCATTAATTTTGCTTAAAATTGACTTAACACATGTAAGTACGTGTCAAAGCTGACACATGCACTTTAAAGTTTTAAAATGTACTAATCAGTTCTAGGGGTATTTATAGCAAAGGTCCTTAACAGTAGATAAGTTCTTCGTACTCAAGGCCTGTCTTCAAGAGTTCAATTATTTATTGTAGTAATTTGTAGTTGTATGTGGTCGTGGTGATTAACATTTAGTAGATATTTTTCTTGGGAATTTGTATGTTGATACATATTTTTGCAATTTCTGAAAAGTAGTCTTTGCTTTATTCTTTCTTTCACTTGCATTTATCTTTACCTTTACCCTTTGCATTTTATGTCAGCTTCAAAATTAAGATCCTCCAAGAAGCTCAAGGTTGAAACGCAGAGCTGTAGAACATCTCTACAAGTCTGTCTGCAAGCCACCCTGCTGTCTATTCTTGGAGCAGTGCCTAAGGGCAGTGGAGCTACTGCACTGCAGTCACCTGGGGGTGTTGGTTAAAATAGATTCCTCTGCCCACCCCCACACCCACTGAGCAGTATTTCTGGGGGCCGGGCATGAGAATCTGCCTTTTAAACTAGCTTCCCAAGTGACTCCCTGAATACTGAATTTTGAGAACGACTGCCTTTTGGTATATGCCAGGGGCTTGCCGCATCAGTCTCTAACATGCAGTAAAGTGTTTTGCTCCTCAACAAGATGGTTGATGGAGGCTTGAGTTTACCCAGAATGAATGCCCTTCTCTCTGTTTTGTAGCCTGTAAGTCCAGGTCCTTCAAGTCTAAAGATACTCCCTTTCAGTTTGGCAGTTAATAATTCTTTTCTCTGGTTTCCAGGTGTTTATGGGCACAGAGATTTGTTAATGATTAAGGGGTAGAGGTTGTTTTTCTCCTTAAGGAAGGTGAGAGCAGGACACACTCAGTCTTAAACAATTATTGGACATTGTTCTGATGCCCGTGTTATTCAGCATTACAGTCTTGTCCAATTTCCATCTATTGGTTAAGAACAAAACAGTTCTTTTGCTTGAATCAGAAGTACTGGGAAAGATGCTCTTAACTTGATGTCTGTGGACAGAATTCAGGGGTCTGTGAACGTGAATGGCACGTATTTCACATTTATTTTCACTGACCCCCAATTGAAAATTAGCATTTCCTTCAATTATGAATGTAGGCAACGAACCACCATGTGATAAGCTCTACCTGTGATTTTATTGCCACTGGAAAGCCACAGGTATTTTCATCTCATATTCTTTCTTGTTGGAGATATCTCAAAACATTGCTTGTGCACATCACTACTTCAAAATTATAGTAGTTATTAGACCAACTGCTAAAACTTATGTAAATTTTATGCTATTACATCATATTTTTAAATTATTTTGATACTATATTTTTCATTATAATTGATTTCTGTTGAAATCTTGTATATTTTGTTTTATGCATTTACACATATTATTTTGAGAAGGGATCCATAGGCTTCACTAGACTGCCAGAGGGGATCAGGTACAAAAAATGGGTAAGAACACTTATGTTAGATCTTGTCTAGGATCTTTTCATCCTAAAGTATTTCCCTTTTTTTTTGAGATATTTCTCTTAAATGAACTATTTTTTCCTATTCTTACAGTCGTCTCATTGTTATATATATATTTTTACTGTAGCAGACTCCACTGGAACCCATTCGCTGTACACAACATACAAAGACTATGAAATCATGTTCCATGTTTCTACCATGCTGCCATATACACCTAACAACAAGCAACAGGTAAGAGGTCCTTGTGTTATTTGTGTTTTTTCGCCCTTGTTTCATTTCCCCCAGAAGCCTAAGTGGCAAGTTTGTAAAATCTTAAACCAGAATTTAATGTTGCACCTGTGACAGCAGCAGGAAGCTCTGTACTTTGTGGAAGTAAGGAATAGCAAATGAGCTGAAAACAAATGAAGAGACACAAATTCTAGGTTAACAGCCAGCTGGATGGCTTTGTGAATTAATCATTTGCTTTTCACCCACGGGGATTGAGGTTTTCATGAAATCTGAAGAGAACAAGTTGAAATCATGGTGATTAGATGACTCTGCAGGGTTGCAAAGAACATATATGAGTGGGTGAAGTTTCAGCTCAAGAGGCCAGTGTACAAAGCAAGGAAGTACTGATGTTTCATTTCAGATTTCAAAGGAGGTTTGGTATAGTAACTTGGAGAAAAATCAAAATAAATGTCAGTGGGATCTCAGAAAAATGTTTTTTCCTTAACGTGTTGGTCAGGAGATAGCAAGAAACATAAATAACAGTTGCATTTGTGTACATCATACACAGATTTAAAAGCACAATGCCTAGTACTAAAATGCAGTCAGTTAGACAGTGCAATGTGGGAACTAAGAAGTGACAGGTTGTTACAGAGCGAAGTGGAAACGGACAGTAGTGTTTTAAAGAGTATGTAGTCATCGTTGTTTTAAAAAAATATTTCAAAATAAATGATACCAAACTGGTTATTTAAAATAACCAGAGAGCTAACAGACTCTCCTTTCTTTCAATAGCTGTTATAAACACAAGCAGTCCAGTATTACATCTGACCTTAAAATGGATATAGATTTTGTTATTGTCAGTTGTTGTACTAACAGAATGCTGGCCAGCTGCAGAATGAATCACATCCTCCTTCACAGAATTTAACCAAACACGGATCCAATCTAACCCTCCATTAGTTTAGGTTTGATTAAATCACAAATCTAGGTAACACAGTTTTGCCTCTTAAGATTACCAAAGTAATCAAAAATAGGAAGCAAAGCAATGAATCAGCTGTAAAGTGAAAATAAACCTATTTTAAGATAAATTCCATGATCTGGAGTTTGTTGGCAATTTGTTTTATGCAAACGCCAATTTCTAGATTTCTCTGAGAGAAAAACATCATGCTAAGAAAAAAATACTAAACTTGTTATTCTGATCAGTCAGTAGACAAAAAATTTAAGAACGTTAACAAATATCTTTAAAGGGGAGTTAAAGGCTTATTCTACCTGATTACTGGGGGATGGGGAGGGCTGGATTTAGAACAAGATTCAATTAATTGTTTATTTCTAACCCAATGAGTTGATGCTGAGCCGAGTGAGTTGGCATTTAAATGGACAGCTATCTAAGTTATTTAATTTTGAGGTCCAATCAAGGCAAAAGTATTATGGTCCTAAATCAGAATGGAAGAGTAATTGGTACTGCCACATATTAAGAAATTTAATTGTCTAGGTAAAGAACTTATTTCTTCTATATAGATTACTTTATGATTGGGAAAAACAGAAAGAACATATATTTTTTAATCTTTTTACAAGAATTTGTTTATAAATACTATCTTTTTTTCATTACATATAACGTGAGATGGATTTATTTCTATTTGGCTCCTTTATTAAGACATTAATATTACATATCAAGCCATATTTCAAAGCAAGTATGGCATTGCATGAAAAAGACAATGACATCATCTATGCAGGAATGACATAATACATAGACAAATTGTATTTGTTCTTGGTATGTCCAAGATCCTGAATAGATTAATGATCTTTAATAATGGGTATATTTTGTATAGCAACCAATACAGACCAGCCTTTATTTCCATAACATCTAATAATATGTTTAGAAATGAAGTAAGCTGCCTCGTTAGAAGATAATTTGGGATGCTTTAAAATTCCTAAGGTTAAAAGTACATTTCCTGAACATTCTAACTCCTAATTCTCAACCCTGATCTAAAAGGCTATTGTTCTCTCAGCTGGCAGCCAATACTAGATCACTGATTTTACTGGTATATAATTTGTGTGAGTTAAATGTCACTGGAGAATTAAAAAAAAAGTTTTATAAATGCAAGCTTATGTTTAATAGATAGTTTATATGAATGTCACATTTAGTTGTTTTCTTCCTTTTAAGAGCCTCCATATAATAAATATGAGACATACACATTTTTTTCAATTTTTCTTTACACTGTTGAATTATCTACCTAATAAACCCTTCCTGAAAAGACGCTGGCCTAGGGTGATTTGGAGTTCCTGAATTTGAAAGCCACCTTTCCAAAACACCATTTAAAGTGAAACAGAGGTAGTCTTAAGCAGCTTTCACTGTAATTAAAGAAACTATTTAAACTTGAAATTTAACCTGCTTTAAAATTGTTGCGACATTCTGGAATATTATTAATTTCCACAGTCCCAGCTTGTGACAGAAAAAGTATATCAAAAAACACCTTAGCCACATTTCTTTGACTGAAGCTGATTAAACCAGAACGTAAATTGTCTTGTAATTACTTCAGCCGTTCTCATCTCTAAAAATCTTCTCTATGGCAAGTTTCTTTCTTATATGAAAATGGAACAAAACTGTTGTTATGGAAACTGAGGATTTGGAGATGCTGGGACGTGGCGTAATATGCCAGATATTGGTTAGATTTATTTGAATGGGCTATATATTTTATGCAAATTTCAGAATATTCATTTCTGTGTTCTTCCTTGGAGGGAATGATAAGACAGGCTAGAATATTGGCAATACTGTGTAACTTACCTCCCCTAATATGTACTGATTAATAATGAATGTTTTAAATACAGTTACATAAAGGAATTGGGGAGGAAAAAACAGAGCATTGTCATTTATGTCGTTTGCTTATTTTTTCTTTTAGCTCCTACGGAAGCGGCACATTGGAAATGATATTGTAACAATTGTTTTCCAAGAACCTGGAGCACAGCCATTCAGCCCGAAAAACATCCGATCCCACTTTCAGCACGTTTTCGTCATAGTCAGGGTTCACAACCCCTGCACCGACGGTGTCTGTTACAGGTATTGGTGCTGCAGTGGTGGCTGGATGGGCGTTGGCCGGTGGTCACGTGGAGGGCCTTGTCCAGCCCTGCTTTCTGCAGTGGCAGTGGGAAGTCTATTGCTATTTGCTTTTGTCTTTAAACTGCATGCAGACTGCGGAATTCACACCATGACGTAACCTGATGGCGTTGACATCCCCCAGACATGTTGGTTAGACACCTGCCGTTTCCATTTGCACCTCCTCCTTAGGTGGTGTCCTTTCTCCATACCATCTGGTCACCAACTAATTACTCATACTGCTAATTATATTTTGCTTTTGGCATGGCAAGAGCAGAGAATGATCATAATAAGTAGGGAAGAGAAGCTTATTTTTTTTAAATTATTATTATTAAAAAAGCCCAGGGGGGCCAGCCCGGTGGCGCAAGCGGTTAAGTGTGCGACTCCGCTGCAGCGGCCCAGGGTTCGCTGGTTCGGATCCTGGGCACACACACGCACCGCTTGTCAAGCCATGCTGTGGCGGCGTCCCATATAAAGTGGAGGAAGCTGGGCACAGATGTTAGCCCAGGGTCAGTCTTCCTCAGCAAAAAAAAGAGAATTGGCAGATGTTAGCTCATGGCCGATCTTCCTCACAAAAAAAAAAAAGCCCAAAGCCTTGCTTAGGGCTGACTTCACAGTAACATTTCTTTTTTTTTTTTTTTTTTTTCTTTTTTTTATGTGAGGAAAATCAGCCCTGAGCCAACATCCGTGCTAATCCTCCTCTTTTTGCTGAGGAAGACCGGCTCTGAGCTAACATCTATTGCCAGTCCTCCTCCTTCTTTTTCCCCAAAGCCCCAGTAGATAGTTGTATGTCATAGTTGCACATCCTTCTAGTTGCTGTATGTGGGACGCGGCCCCAGCATGGCCGGAGAAGCGGTGTGTTGGTGCGTGCCCGGGATCCGAACCCGGGCCGTCAGTAGCGGAGCGTGCACACTTAACCGCTAAGCCACGGGGCCGGCCCCACACTAACATTTCTGACTGCAATCTTAGAGGCATTTCTGTGCTTTATGAAGCATTTGGTGGAATTGTTGCAATGTCCCTTGTTGACCTAGTCTCATGAGTGTCAGAATTCAAGCATCCATCTGCAGAGGCCTTTGCAGGAATACACTAGGGGTTTGATGTGGAAGAGGATAAGGGCCTGTGATGCTTGGTTGACATGAGTGTAGTGCCAAGAAGATGTGTAAGGACATTCTAGCACTAATAAGATGTTTCCAGTATGCATCTATCCTTTCAGGCTATGAAATTTCATCATAGCTTTCTGTCCCTAAAATTTCCAATATTAGGCTTTGTTAATGTTCAATATTTGTTTTTGAATTAATATAGCCACCTACAGAGAAAGTGGCCAACATAGACTGATAATTGCTTTGTTTTGAGATCCACAACTGTCTAATTCTAATTCTAGGTGTAATGCAGGTTAATTATAGGAGTAGAGCAAGCAAGTTCAGGGAAGAGAACAAGTAGAGGTTACTTTGGAATACTGTGACTGCCGCCATCCTTGCACTTTCCACAATGATTACGTATGTTGAGCTCTGATTATTAGCCCAGCACTATTCCAGGTACCTTAAATCTGTTACCTCATGTAATTTTTAAAACTTGTGAGGTAGGTGCTGTTTTCATCCTCATTTTCAGATGAGGAAGCGTAATCCCATGGGGATAGGTGACCTGCCTGAGGTCAGCTGGTACTGGGCAGAGTTTAGATACAAATGCGTTAAGTCTGATTCTAGAGCCCAGTCTCTTCACCGCTCTGCCATGCTGCCTCACTCCCATGCCGCGTGAAGCGGGGTGGGGGTGGGGGGACGACCTTGCTGCCCTTGCTGCTGACATACAAGCTATTCCAGAACCTCTCAGGGCCCAAGCTTATGTGACAACCTGAGACCGAGGAGGTCTGTAGTTTCCTAGGCCCAGAGACTGGAAATTCAAACAGAGGAGACCTAGATCTGAAGTCTCTTGTCAAGAATATGGTCTCTGAGGAGCCGGCCGGGTGGAGCAAGCGGTTAGGTGTGCGCGCTCCGCTTCGGTGGCCCGGGGTTCGTCGGTTCGGATCCCGGGCGTGCACCGATGCACTGCTTGGCAAGCCATGCTGTGGCAGCATCCCATATAAAGTGGAGGAAGATGGGCATGGATGTTAGCCCAGGGCCAGTCTTCCTCAGCAAAAACAGAGGAGGATTGGCAGATGTTAGCACAGGGCTGATCTTCCTCACAAAATAAATAAAAAAATAAAAAAGGCATTGCAGTAGTCCAAGCTGAGATGATGAAAACCTTGGCTAGAGAGCAGCAGAAACACAAAGTGAAAAAGAAAAAAAAGAATATGGTCTCTGAAAGCTGCTTTAGTTAGGTATAGAAAGAAAGAAGCAGCATAGAATGTTTGGCTGTAGTTGGGGAGGATAACTATTTGCAATTAGAAAATACCCCAAGCAATTGAAACATGCTATGTACTGGATTCATGCAAAGGATTTCATGCTATGGAGATAGAAAGCTAAACTCTTTTGAATGGTCACTAGGAAGTTTGAGGAATGGAAAGCTATGCAGTTGCCTGTAGAGAGAGATTCTTATTTAAAAGCCTTTGTCTAAATAAAGTGCTGTCCAATAGAAATATAATGCAAACCACATATTAATATTTTCTAATAGCTGTATTTTTTAAAAGTAACAAGAAATAGTCAAAATTAATTTGAACAATGTTTTTTGACCCAATAATATATTATTTACCTGCTTATCCCAAATGTTATTTTAACATGTAATTTTTAAATTTTAAAAATTATTTGTGATATCTTACACATTTTTGGACTAAGACTGAAATCTGGAGTGCATTTTAGACTTATAGGTCATCTCAGGGTACTCAATTTTTATTGGAAATAATCTGTATTTAGATTTCATAAAATTTGTGATTGGAAAAGTAGATTTATATACTCAGATTGTTCCAAATATGCTTTTTTTTTTTTTTTTAAAGATTTTATTTATTTATTTTTCCCCCAAAGCCCCAGCAGATAGTTGTATGTCATAGCTGCACAACCTTCTAGTTGCTATATGTGGGACGCGGCCTCAGCATGGCCAGAGAAGCGGTGCGTCGGTGCGCGCCCGGGATCCGAACCCGGGCCGCCAACAGCGGAGCGCGCGCACTTAACCGCTAAGCCACGGGGCCGGCCCCCAAATATGCTTTTAAAAAGCTTTCAAATAACTGCATTGAGTGTCAGTCTTTAAGATTTAATATAATTTAATACTCCCTGGTCACACTGGCCACACTTCGAGTGCTCAGTAGCTGCGTGTGGCCAGTGCAAGTCTCAATAGACTGATGAGGAGGAAAGATGGCTTCGCTTTCTTCAACACTTTGCTAGGTGAGGAGGTGATATATGTTTTATTATTTTCACCCCTCCCTCCTTGAAAATCATGATTTCTGCTGTCTCTCTTATTTTTAATCTATTGCCTGGAGAGCCCGTCTTCCTAACCCCTCCGTGTGATGCTGGGAGCCTGGGTAGGAAGACACTGAACACCCCTGCTCGTGACACATGGGCTAGTCTGGAATTCCCCAGCTGCCAACCTTGTTTGAAGACCCAGTGCACTGCTTATAAACTGTGAATTTTGGCCTTTTATAAATCCAAATTGTTTTCTAAAAACAAACTGATATTTTGTAAATATCAGTTTATAACATCCCTGAAAGAAATCACAAGAAACTGAAGCAGTGATCTTTTCCTGTGATAAACTTTGGGTACATTAATTTTTCTCAGTCCTTCTCAAATGGAGGTAGGCATGTTTCCTGGGGAATGTGGTGTCAGGAGATGTTAAATTTAAAGGCTCAGAATAAATCGGGCACCTCTCTTATAGTCTTTAATGCTTGGGGGAAGGGGTGCGAAGGGGTTTATTTCTTCATGAAAATAAATGTATTATGACGTAGAATGGAAAATTTATATGAATTTTAAGATAACACATGGGTCTTCAAAGAATTTCCATACCTGTGAGTTTTTCTCATACCCCAGCCACCCCCCAAACTACTAGGGGTATGAATTTATAGGCCTCTTTCATTAGGGGCACTTTGGTGGGAACGTTTAGAGATGCGTTGATTTATACTGATTTTATTTAAATCTAATTTAATTTTATCCTTAAGTGATGTAGTTAGAGTAAGTCAAATGCTTTTTTTTTTTTTCTTTTTGAGGAGGGTTAGCCCTGAGCTAACATCCAATGCCAATCCTCCTCTTTTTTGCTGAGGAAGACTGGCCCTGAGCTAACATCCGTGCCCGTCTTCCTCTACTTTATATGGGATGCTTCCACAGCATAGCTTGACAAGCAGTGCATCAGTCCGCGCCTGGGATCTGAACCGGCAAACCCCGGGCCACCAAAGCGGGGTGCATGAACTTAACCGCTACGCCACCAGGCCGGCCCCCTCAAGTGCTTTTTATCATTCAAAATTCCTTGTTCCCAACTTTCTGCACTGTAAACACTCACATTTGTTTACTGACGCCACCTCCTTGGTGCCTGAACTGTGGAAGGTGCAAAAGTTGTTTTCTCAGGAGCTTCTTGCTGAAATTGTGTAGAGAATTGTGGGGTCAACATAGGCTAAAGTTATAAGGAATGCTTAGCTAAGAAAATGGGATTTGGTGTGTGTTTTAAAGCACAAATGGATGGAATTCAATAGGAAAAAGAGGATTCTAGGAATGGCCAGCAGTATATATGGAAGTGTAGACATGGGAAGGAGAGTGGAAAGGGATAGTAAGTACAGTAAGAAGGCTACTACTGGAGGAAAGATTACTAGGCACTGGAGGCCCTTGGAATGCTAGGCCATCAAATAACACTGTATAAATAGGGTCTTTGGAAAATTTACCGAATGTCACCATGCAAGGTAATTTGTATACAAAAAGACAAATTTGGAGCTTATTGTTGTTATCCATTTATTTTTTACCAGTTCTTTACAGCCCTTATCATATATGTGCTAGGCACTATTCTAGGCCCTGGGATGCAGGAGGAGAACAGAGAACAATTCCAATAGTGGATAT